TTCAGTTAGTTGCCACAGCAACATTTCAACTTTTCATTTAATTTTTTATGATATATTTTACTTTATTTCAGCTTAATTTTGGTTAAAAATATATTTTAATAGTTTTAGGCTTAGTTAACAATAACAACATTGGTATGACTTTATTTTCTATAAACCCACTTCTACTGTATGTACAAAAAATTCTAAATTTTGTGTTTCTCAAAACATATAAAGTCATACAAGTTTGGATGACATGACAGTGATTGATCACAGAATTTTTTATTTCTTTAATATCCATCATTTCACCTGGCTGGTCACACTATTTTGTGACAGCAAAAAAAAACATAAAACACAAGAAGGCACAGAACTATATTTCTTAATTGGCCCTGACTGGGTTTCAATGCTTGGATCTTAGGGACCACTCTCAGCTCCTGCATTCAGCTTGCTCTTTCTTTTCCCTGCTTTCGACAAACCTATTGAAAATGAAAAGAGGAAAAGGCCACATGAGGCTTCCCCAAACAAGGTTATTAAATGGCCACTGGATCAAGAAAGCGGTCCCTGAAATGCTTTTTAGTCCATCTTGTTTTTCTTATTACTGCTGCGTCTGTTTACAGCTGGGACAAAGGCTTCAAACAGCCAGTGGCCTGGGGAAAGACACATGAGGGGAGCAGCTCTCCCTGTTATTTAACCCAGCCAGATCTTGTCTGGTAACACAGCTTTATCTCTTAGAAAAGAGGAGGTGGGCTAATAAGGTCAGTCAAGCCCAGGAGACAAGGAAGTGAGACTCAGGAGAATGAGCGTGAGATTTTTCTAGATAGTGAGAAGGAGAGAAGGACAGATGGACAGAGGGAAGGAGGGCGGAGGAAAGGGACAAATGCTAGTCACAAAGTCTCTGTTCACAGTGAAGCTTAAAACGTTGAGAGTCCTGCTTTTACTTCTTAATCCAGTTAGATATAGTAGGGTAGTGGGAGGAAGTCTGTCTACAGACAGCAAGATCTGACTATTGGAATGAACTCATACATCGTCTGCATGATAATTGCATCTGAATGCTGAGAGTGACTGCACAACCATTTTTATTTTCACACGATATCAGGAAGTAATTACACACAGTGTGCACATCGTTCTACTTTTCTATCACTGAGCCATCCAAAGTTTGGCTTCGGCAACGGATTATGCCATGCATCTGCAATTTCAGATGAAACTAACCTTGAGTGAAAACACCTTTAATTACTTTAGAACCAAATTGGGAAACTCAAGCATTAAAACCACATGATGTTCGAATATCCTACCTATGTTTGGATGCATGTGGCCCAGGTTCAAGATTTACAGCGGTTTATAGCATTCCCACAACTTCTGGATATTTAATTTTCCTTATTTTAGAGAGTCACAAAGACAAATTCCAATTAAACGCTTTCAATTTGAGGATAACTGTAAAATCTATGCTCGTTACATAATTTTCAATTACTTTTTAAAGATTTTATTACATTCAACTTGGGATGGGAATTATGAGCAATTTAGGTTTTGGATTCTTCAAAACGAGTCTGGTAACACTAATGATTCTTTTGAGAAGTCTTAAAGGGGTAGTTCAAAAATGACAATTCAGTCATTATTTACTCACTCTGGTGTTCTTCTAAAGCTTTCTTTTACAGATCACAAAAGGAGAAAAAAAATAATCTGCTGGCACTCATCCATGTAGTGCGCTGCTAGAATTACACATTTTTGTAGGCCTACCTGGAAGCAAGCTAGTATTTTGGCACTTCCAATTCCATCGTCCAGAAGTCGATGGTTTGTTTGAATGGGTTTTTAGTTAAATGGCTGAAATAAAGTCTGTGGTTAAAACAAGCTCAAGATATTTTTATTTTTTATTCTACAACATTAGATACATTAGTAACACCACACTCATGACTTTTTTAAGCTTTTATGTGTCTGGAAAAAGATGGTTGTTAACAAGTGGCTAAATTAGACTGTAGATGTTGTCGGGGTCATTAAATTTCATCACACCAAACACGAAAACTTGCCTAACAGTCTACTTTTACAGCCTTGCTGCATTTATATTCGTGCCCTTGCAAACTTATTCTATTCTAACTCAAAATTTCAGGGGAAAGGTTTTTTTTTTTTTTTAAATAAAGGCTGAAAGAGATGACAGAGGTTTAAATGTTTTACTTCTGGCAATTATATTTAGATGTCAGAATTCATAAAAGTTGTGCTCATTTGTGAATACTATCATGATGAACAAATTGTGTATGAATCATACATTTTTGTTGGTCACAGAGCATATTTTCTGCAATAATCTAAAAGCCAATGGAAAACCCTATTGGGATTTTGACAAGGGAACCAGGGTGATGCAGGCTGGCCTACAAAAAAATATCACTGCACTACTCTGTAGTGACCAGCTTCAAACTTTAAGGAAAGAGATGTAAAAGTAACACAGAATGATCCCATGCAACTTGTGCCACATTTTTCCAAGTGTTCTAAAGGCTTATGATAAGGTTTGGTGAAAAACAAACCAACATTTAAATGAGTATTTAGCAAATATCCTGAATTTGGCCATTGTTCTGACTTTGCATTAATTACACTATATTAGTGCAGCAGTTCACTCTGGCTCATCAAGGAAAAGCATACATGCGCATCATTTTGAGAAATCCGGATTAATTAAAAATGAAACATATGGTAGATATGGAATCATTCTGTGATACTTTTGCCTCTTTATATTTAAAGTTTGAAGCTGGTTGCTATTCGGTACCATTATATGGATGAGTGCGAGCAGGACATTTTTTTAAATTTCTCCTTTTTCGGTCTTTAAATGAAAGTCAGTCATACGGCATTAGAACAACACCAGACTGAGTAAATAATGTCTGGATTTTTATTTTGGGTGAACTATTCATATAAGAACAACATTGTTTCATGGAGTTGGACAAGACGAAATTTGTCCAGCTGTTCAGTAAGTGAGTCAGATCAGCCATAATACACTGGTAAAGCCTTATGTTTTTGATTCACTAAAAAGAATCAGCTCATAAGAGTCATTTATTCAAAAATCAGACTACCCTAGACATGCTGTCTGTTTCTGATCCATTATAGAGCATCAGCTCATAAGATTCATTCCCTAAAGACATGGACTTCACTAGTCACGCTGTATGTTTGTGATCCACTAACCAGCTCATATAAAAGTAAATCGCTTGACTTTTCTAGTAAACTAAACAGAACCCAAAAAGCATTAGCTCGACAACTGGACTTCGCCGGTCATGCTGTGTGTTTCTGATTCATTAAAAAACAGCTCATAAGAGTCATTAGCTCAGGAATTGACTTCACTGGTCACACTAAAGTTTCCACACTATGAATGTCATGAAAACATTTTGGTATTGTAGTATTTTTTTAAACAATGATTCACTGTTTCCAAACCTTTTATTCAGTGACTTGTCCAGGCCTTGAATCACATATTTAAACTGATATTTTTCACAACAATTTGACATTGATCACATTGCTCCGCACTAAAATAAAAAGTCTCGAGATCAGAGCTGTAATTCAGTTGCACTTGATCTATTTGATTTGATATGAAGCAAGCAAGTGCAGTGTTAATGAGGTCTTATGCAGGAAATTTCAGAACTTGTGCCGCCCAGAGCCCCAGCATGACGAACATAGACTAAATTCCTCCGCTCTCACTCTGCAGACCGGCACATCTTTGATTGAGTGGCCGTTTTGTGATAATAAGCAGCATAAATTTTCAGTTAAATACAGTAATGTTCTTACTGTCAAATACTGTCAAATAAAATTTGAAAAAGACCAAGGAAGATGAATACATGCAATTTCTGGCCTTCCACATCCCCTGCTTTTCATTCATCTGTTGTACCTTCTGCATTAGCATGTGTTACCACTGGCTACAGCACAGCAGATGCGCTCTCCACTTTTTTGGGGGAACATCAAGGGAAGTGAATTCAGGGACTTTTATCTCCTTAATTATGTAAATTATATGCCACTGATATTCCTTATCAAGACTAGAGGAAGCTGTGTTTCTTCCCTGGCAAGTTGCGAAGCGAGAGTCTGAATCCATTCACGCTTAACAGTTTCTCCAAACTTGGCGAAAGAATTTCCTCCTGACTCACAATAGGATGAAAAAAAAAAAGCCTCGGCTCATAACTCATTTCTCAGATACAGTGCGACTCTAAATCAGTGCTGCCTTCAATTGTGTGCTACTTTTTCTTGCACCCAGTGCCACAGCTGTGCAATTCATCTGCAAGGCCCTTAAAGCTCGACCACTCTGTGAAATTATTCTGCATTTACAACTTTAGCTGCAGCTTTATTCAAATATTTATTTTGCCATTCTTCACACAATATCTATCACTGCTCCATTTGCACACCATTTACGCAAACATCTCTCACTTGAACTCAGGTACAGTATTACTTGCCGTTCAGACTCACTTCAGAGGTTCAATTTTAAATCAAGTCAGATAAGTAGAAAGCAGTGAAGAATGAGACGTCTGATAAAAACAACCGTTGCGCAATGTGCTACATATTTTCTAAGGATTCCTTACGGGGAATTGAAATCAATTATATGTGGAATGATGTTGTTGTTACCACTTAGTGTCTTATTGGCAACCTTTATCATCTAAATCAGGTCCTAGGAAGGATTGCCAGCATTCATTGTGGTACAAGGACTTGATTAAGGTAAACAATTTAAGAGGTTTTTGATGAATTAGAACACACAGGCTCATTATTACTGCAATTGAATATGACTAATAAGCTCAACTGCAGATTAGGATCATTGACAGAACCAACATGGACCTACAGTAATCGCTATATGAATCAGCAGCATGGATTTTGTAGAGTAGTTACTGATTGCATCAGGAATTCAAGTCGACATGCACAGGATAACAATACCCTGAGGTTAGTGAGTGAAAACCGGTTCCAGAACTCTAAAAGACCATCAGGAAAAGCCAAAAACTCGCTGGTTTAATAATTAATCAATCTGTCACAATCGTAAATGTTCCTGACACTGCATAAAGGGAGCATAAAACTGTATGTACCTGCTGTGAAATTGTAGCTTGCAGAAAATCCCATCGCTTCCAATTCACCATCCGCAACAAATTTTATCCATAGGTAACGGCCGCTCGATCTGATATATGGAGGGTTCTGCTGGCCGCAGTAGCGTCCAATTATTGGAGAAAAGCCAAAGGGTCCGTCCCGGACTTCAATATGGTCAAATTTACATTCCCATGAAGGCTCTATTGAATACTTTTCATCAAAGAAAAGATCAATGCATTGTCTCGGGGGAGCTGCAAAAGAGAAAATAAAAATAAATCAAGACTGACATCTGTAATTTATGATGGATGATGTCATAAGTCCAACACACTCTCATGGCAATTCGTAACTACAGTTTGGTAGGTGAACTGGTGGCCAATCTGGTTAGATTTAGGGATGGACCTTTGCGATTAAGGTTTTTTTGTTTATTTATTTTTTTCTTAAAAACGGTGCATTTCTGTATGAATCACATTCATATGAAAATCTCCACCTCGTATAATAGTTACGATTCACCACAAGATCGGGTTGGGTATGTTAGTCATTATTAGTATGCAAAGAAAGTTTTGGAGATATGGATTGCATTCATATGCATTTATTTCTACTGTAACATGAAAATCACCCAAAATCACTAAAATTTTGTAAGGAAGAATGAAAGAACTTATATATCTCATAATATTTGTAATCAGTGTTGGGTAGTGACTGTTTACATGTAATCTTGATTACATAATCAGATTCCAAAGATTACATTTTAAATAATCAGACTACAGTTACTTTATTATTGACTACATAAACACATATTCAACATTGCATCAACTACCAACGAGCATTATTTTTATTTGAATTATTACTCAGTGGGTTATTTAACCATGTATTTATTATAATAGTAATAATAGTGTACTATGGTTTTGGAAGGCTTTTGTCTTTTGTCAAAAACATTAATGCACTAAATCTTTTTAGTGTTTTATTTTGATTGTTATTTAAAAATTATTTATTTTAATTTGAAGTAATCTAACCAGCACCGTTTGAAATCTTATTAGGACGGCAAAGAGATTATCACATATAAACCATCTAATTGCAAGAAAATTACTACTAGCTTCTTAGTTCAATTTGATTATTAGCTTACAACAGCACAGCATGCTAGCAGTCCAACAGATGCGATTGAAAGACAACCCCATTTTTACCCACTTTTGTGGAAATCTAATTGCGTTAATCAAATTAACGTTCAGATATTGAGAGATTGTTGATCTATAGAGCCTTCTGTTATGAATGCAAATTAAACACTAGTGTTTATTAGCATCATAATGGTGCTGCATAGGATTAACAATCAACTGATTGCTCCTGCATCTTTCACTCTGAGTGCCACTGCGGTGCTGAACAATTCAAAACAACACCCACCATCCAAGTGTCACATGACAGATGTGTTTGTGTGCTGCATTTACTATTCGGACAAGGTATTTTTTTACCTTCAATGATGTAGATGCATTCTCGCTCTGGAGGATATTTGTTTGGGTAATTGGGTGAGGTGAAGAGGCCTCCCTCTGGTTCTTTCACCCAGGTTCCACACTGCCCTGCCGGCTGCACTCCTGAATTGTTTTTCACTGAGAGAGAGAGCAGTCAAATGTCAGAGATTGCCAGGAAACATGGAGATGGAGAGTGGGTGGGTATTCTGTGACAAAACATCATTACCTGCTTCCTTCTTTGTTGCCCCAGACAACCCAAGCATGAGAAGACCTGCAACAACTGCGACAAAAGATTTAAGATCAAAACAGCATAGAATCATGTGGATTCATTATGAACATACAGCTGGACCGAAGGGTGCAATTCCTATATTCATGCTGGACTAAATTGCAAAACGTATATTTGAAAATGCATTTTAGGAATGGCTGAAAATCAACGATCTGAAATAGTATCCTTTAAAGAATTTGGTCTAAACCTGGATAATTTTTTTTATTTATTCTTTTTTATTATTATTATCTGTATTCGTTTTTAATGCAGTACACACAATTAATGCAAACGAAAAACCAAAGTGCATTTATTTATTTATTTATTTTAGTCTTTATTTTGCATTTACTTTCCAAACTGATTGATTTGCTGTGGATGTACTGCAAGTTTGGAGAAAAAGAAGAATTCAGCTTAAGCTGGAAGCTGTTTTGAAATATGGTAGCTGGTTTAGTTGGTCCAAGCTGGCCACTGGCTGGTTGTCTAGCTACAAACCATCTTAAACTGATACGACCAGTTGGCTTTTCTGCTGTTCCAAGATGCTCTACCAACTTAAACTAGCTAATTACTAGCTTGTAATGACCATCTTAGGCCAGCTAGAAACCAGCTACCATTAAAAACCAGCCTAACCAGCTCGCAGATGGTGTTTTGCTGGTCCGTGATGGTTTGCCAGCTTGTGGACCACCAAATCACCATCTTGGACCAGCTAATAACCAATCTGCACCAGCTAATGATCATTAAGACCAGCTAGAAACCTGACTTAAGCTGTATTTTCCAGCAAAAAAACAACACAACTGGGAAAATATATGCTATACTGTCATGATGCATATGCAGTTGCATATCACTCAAAATAAATTAAATGCAACTATTTCAATCAGTTTACAATAACACACAAAGTTCCTAAAGGAATAAAGCGAGACAGACCGATAAATGCAGATAGACCTCATGCGTAAAATGAAACAGAGAGAAGAGAGTGAAGTTAACTGGCAGCTGGACTCACCGTGAAGGAACCTGTTCCCATGTACCATGTCTATTCCTTTCACAAAGGGCTTTCTCAACTAATTCCATTTAGATCGGAATACTTTCAGAAGAAAAAATTGATATTTGCGGGAAAAAAAGAAGCAAAAATCACAGCGAATATGTCAACAGCCCTGAATTCATTTCACTATACTGACAATTGAGATTCCAGCAGAGATCCACAACTATGCATTAGTAGTTCCGTATAAAACCAGAAAAAGGTGCAAACATTTCCATCCAAACGTTTCCAAACCCCTCTGGTGCTCTTGATGGATTAATAGGTCCGTCCGTCATTAGCTTTTCCTGATCGCTCCACCTTTCCAGAGTCATCACGAAAAGATTCATAAAGGGGAAAGGTTGGAAAATCTTCCAACCATCTCTAAGGAACACTTATCGGAATATCCATTCCAATTCATTTTTCCATGGTTGAGCAAAGCCAACTTCAACAAGAAAACTCACAGCGTCAAGAAACGTGTTTAAAGCCTCATTCCCGTGTTTCCTCGCCAGTATATGCAGTACAAAACCCCTTTCCTGCTTCCCCCCACATCAAAGAGTTAATTCATATCATCGCTCCTCTCCGGCCATTCATTAATTTCAGTTCTTCAGCAGAGTTATGTCAACATGATGCGGCAGCACACGGAACTGTTCGTCATATGTCCACTAAAGATAATGTTGATGCTCTTGAAGACGCACCGCAAAACCGGTCAGACTGCGGAATCCAATGAATCCAACACCTCACGCGGCAGCACTAGAGCAAAATTTGGGGGGGGGGTAAGCAGAAAAAGCTCTGTGTGAGGAAAAGAAACAAGCAAAGAGATGGATATCTAGCCAGAACTACTATCAGCGTCTCCAGCATTAACTGCACCTGCAGTGCTGGATTGGCGAAGAGCATCTGCAGCCTGCGGACAATTGGAGTGAAGTAGCGAAGCATGCAGAAACTATAAATTCATTGGAGGGTTTATACGCGGCTCGTGTGAGCCAGCCAGCCTCTTTCAGGAAAGGTCACCCTGTTTATCTGGCTTTAAAAATGTTAACTTCATTCATCAATAAACTTGACGCGATCTAAATATGGAGGAATCACTCGCGCTGTTTTCTCGCCATTAAATCTAGTATTTACCATTGAAAATGTGCGCAGTGTTGAGCTATTATCGTTAACCTGAGTTTGTTTTACACGTGTGGTGTAGAGTAGGTAATATTGTGTGTGGAATAATGAATTGTTATTCTTAATCCTTGAAAATAATAATATTCTTTTTCCAAATGAACATGTAGTCTTTTTATACAGTAAAATAGTCATCAAAACATGCTTTAAAAATCACAACATATTCAGTCGTTTTCAGAGAAAACATTATTAATTCATTCATTCATTCACTTTCTTGTTCAAATTGTAAACAGTGTAAGCATAAATCTAACAAAAGCTTGCTTAAAATAAGAATAAACTATTCTGGAAATGGTAAAAAAAGTGTATTCTTTGTAAACAAGTTTATATTTTATTTTAACTACAATAAAAGTTTATTTTATTTAATTACAAAAAACATGATAATGTGACTGTATGTTTTACAGTTACACGTCATTACATTTCTCCAAAACACTCCAATGTACATAATAAAAAAATCTTTAAATAAAACCCAAAGAAAGTAAACAAGTAAATAAAGTACTTATAAATTATGTAATTTCTTAAAATACTTTTTACTTATAAAATATAGTTTTTTTTGTGACAGAAAACACTGCTTATTATACTGTACATGAGTTTTGCATAAAAGAAACGCATATTTATTTAATAGATGATGAACATCAGTCTTAATCTTATATTATTCTAGCTGCTTCCAATTATAAAGAAAGCATATGCAATCAATGCCAGACCCTTTCTGTTGCCTAAAATAGCTGCATGGTCATCACAATATTTTGGCAGCGTCTCTCCATTTCATACCAGCAGACTGATAGTCATCAATTCCAACTGCACTGATGGAAAGTGCCAGTACACACAGAGTTTCCTCATTGCCGTATTTGAATATATGCATCTTCAAAGTTACAAGCCTGTGAAATGCTTTTTATACTGTACGTTTGCATTAATATTCCTTTCCCTGATGCGATAATCTCATCAACCATGTGCTGTCAGAACATCAGTCTCCCTTAAGCATGCTAATGTGAAGCACACTGCAGACAGCTGATCCTTATAGAACATGAAAGTCAGCACAAAATCAAAGGCTTTTATACATATACAGTCAGCTGGAGTCACAAACAGAGTTAATATAAGAAATGGTCCCTTTTCAATGATCAAAAACAGCTTAAGAACTCAGAAATGCTTGTTCAGTTTTTCATTAAAATGGTCAAGATTTGGATTTAGGCACATATGATGGTTATAACGTGTATCTGTGACCCAAACAGCCTGTCTAACAACTAAGAACGTATTGAAGTTGACAGTAAAAAAGCAGTCTGCCCTGCCCTAACAGTCCCCCTACTCAGTAGCGGCTGCTTTAACAGAGCTAATGATGAGCCACTCCATTAAAACGCAACTCTGAGAAGCAAACTCTGACACGGAATGTATTAATCTTCAGAGTAATACACGCAGCATTATGTTGAAGCTAGAAAAAGGGTTGCGATTGAATGTGGGGTTTTCCTGAAGAGAACTTAAAGGAATAGCTCACCCAAAAATGAAAATGTATCGAAGATGTAAATGAGAGTGTTTATTGGAATGTATTAGGAGAAATTTAGCATTACATCATTTGCTCACCTCTGCAGCGAATGGGTGCCATCAGAATGAGAGTCCAAACAGCTGATAAAAACATCACAATAATCCACAAATAATCCACACGAATCCAGTCCATCAATTAATGTCTTGTGAAGCAAAAAGCTGCAAGTTTGTAATAAACAAATCCATCATTAAGATGTTTTTCACTTCAAGCTTTCCGGCTAAAATATGAGTCCTCTATCCATAATATTGCTTTCTCCTGTGAAAAAGTATACTCGTCTGAATCAGGAGAGAAATATGCACAGACCAAGCACTGTTTATACAGTCCAAACAAATAAACAAATATTGTAATGTTTTTATCATCCGTTTGGACTCTCATTCTGACGGCACCCATTCACGGCAAAGGATCCACTGTTGAGCAAGTGATATAACGGTTTCTCTAAATCTGTTCTGATGAAGAAACAAACGCATCTACAACTTGGATAGCCTGAGGGTGAGTACATTTTCAGTTTTGGGTGAACTGTTCCTTTAAAGCTTAGTTTCTTTAAATCTTATGTTTTAATGACAAATATTAAGAACATACAGTACCATAAACTGCAATCACAGACATGCTATCAGTTTAGAGCTCCTGCAGGTTAGTTTTGTTGGAAAATTCCAGCAGTTATGAACACTCAATCAGCTCTGTCTCTCGACAATAGCAGTATAAAATTTAAAAGTGGCCTCAGGACTTGATTTATTTCTTTAGACAGATAGCAAAAGAAAAACAAACAAACAGATCAGCCAATAGTACCTGATAGGAAGGCACAGGAGAGGCCAGATTGTTTTTGTCGAGTGGTGATAGTGCTTCTCGAAATTGGAATTTCCCCTGGAAAAGCTCTGCAAGAAGCTGAATATCTTGCACTGGACCTTATTTATAAAAAGATACTCACTGTGATTTATGCAGCGGTTTATTATCGTTACCATCCATAACTGTCCATAAAAACCCCAATCAAAGGATTTACTCATCAAAGCTTTAAAAAGCCTTTTAAAAGTGTATTTAATGAATTAGCATTCAGTACTGTGTAGCAACCAGCAAAGCTTTTTGTCCACAGTTTCACTTCAACAAGGCACTGTCAGAGGGATTTGAATGTAAATGCATACACGCTAATCCTATTAGAGATCTTTTTGTTGTATTTCAAAAGATGCTGCAAGACTTTGCAAAACCAGTTTAATATTTTTAACATCCAAAATCACTCAAAATTCAGCTCACCGATTGGTTATTTTAGGGATGACTAATGACAAAATGGCAATTATGTAAATAAGGGCTTATCTTGCTTACTGTATGCAACACAACAACTGCAGAGTTCAGTTGCTTCAGCTCATGCGCAAAAAAAAAAGAAAATGTGCATCTAATGAAAGTAATTCATTCTTCTTTCCTTAAAAAGCAACGTATTAATGAAAGGTGTGAATCTCTATCATTTGAATTGAGATAAGCAGGGTTGTGGTTCTGCTGCTCTGAGTTTGTAATTAAAAAGCTCAGGGGAGATGGGATACCAGTCATGTATACACATATTAATAAACACCACATTCATGAACAAATGAGAAACAAAGATTGTATAAGTATAGTATAGCCGCACTGAATGCAATTAACCTTTTCTGATGCATATATTGAGAGGAAAAAACTCATTTGACTCATTTTTCTACACTGTGTTTATGTATTTCCTGTTGAAACCAAGTTGAATTATAAAAAAACAGCATTGTGACTTGCTACAGCTGGCAAATTATCATTCTTGAGAACATTTGATTGGACAAAATGTGGGAGTGCAGGATGAGTCATCAAAATGTCTGTTTTGTCTCGTTACCAACATTCTTTAAAATATCTTATTTTGTATTCAACAGAAGAAATAATCTATACAGGTTTGGAACAATTTAAGGGTAAATAAGGAGTACACTTTTAAGAGTACTATCATATATGACCTCAAAATAAATTCCTTACCAATATTAGTTCCCAATATTACTGAAATGATAGATGTGTGTATATTATTGTCAATGAGATTCTATTTAGGTGTTAAATTCAACAAAACGGTATATGTCTTCAAAACATCTGGCTTGACTGAGAGACCGACAAGCTTTGTTTTTCAGGTATATTGTAAAGCACTTGCTCAGAAACCTTATGAACCAAAACCTGTCTTACCCCTGCTGATGCCTGCCAGTTTCAGGTTGAATTTTAAGATAGAATCGAGGTTAAAGGAAGGTGAGTGCTGAGAGGCTGTCAGTTTTCCATGTAATGCTTAACTTATCACTGTGACACATTATTCACCATAACGCTTGTGCCTCAAGCTGCCTTACCACATTTTCCCACAAGAGGAATAGCATTTATGAGCTAAAGGAATTGTTGAATAAAGAGTGCCTTTGTGTAAAAGGAGTCAGGAACACAACATAACAGGTGTCTTTTCTTACCCAACACCCTGTACCCATATTCTGTAGACAGTCAAACTTCTCCTCAACCACCACCAGTGTGCAGCATCCACCTGGATGATGCGACAGCAGCCATATTGCGCCAGAACGCCCACCACACACCAGCTTATTGCTGGAGAGGAGACAGAGTGATGAAGCCAATCAGTGTAC